AAAAATGAGGAGCTGATATCAAGGGCTCAAGTAGAAAGAAAATGTTTTGAAAAGGATGGCAACATATGTATAAATGTGCTTGACACAATGGATGGATGTATGGATTGTGATAAGAGCTGTAAGAGCCCCCAATAAAATGATTTAATAAAAAAGAAAAACACCAGGGAATGTGAGCAAGGCCTGACAAGTTGGGAGGAGACCCTATCTGACGTTTTTGCCATTTGAGCTGGGACCTAAGTGACTAAGAACTCCATGGTTCGAACTGTCAGTGTAGGACCAAGCTCCAGCTGTGTCCCCTGGAGCTCTGAGTCAGCAGCAGGGGTGGGAAAAGAAGTGTGGGCAGAGAAGACAAGGGGTTAGACTGGAGTTGTTCCGGTGCAGGTGGATGATGCCAGCAGTACTTACTGATCGTTTGGATGTGGGTGGCAGAATATTCAGTGGGATTCTAACCTATCCACCTGTATTTCTTGGCCTCAGACCTCAATTCTTTACTCCACTCCCCACCTACTGGCACTCTCCCTCAGACAACGACTCCCCTCACATGGTTCCCTCTCCTATCAGCCCACCACAGCACACACACACCTCTGGTTTTGCCAGAGCTTCCTTCTTCCCCTTCCTTCTCTACCTACCTAACGCTCGGCCCGCCCCCCTCAGGACTCCTCCTTGGGGGTGAGGTCAGTGATGATGATGATGGAGGATGACCGACTATATTAATGTCGTCTCACTTTCTGGCTTAAAACGATTGGGTCCAGCCTATCTGTGCCACATCCTGTGAGGGCTTAAGCGCAGCAGAAACTGGGTGCAGCAAGCCCCTGTGAGGACCCCGTGAATACATTCATTGTGTGACATCTCTTTATTCTGAGCCACACTTTCCCTGTGGCCATAAAGGAGGGCCAAGGGAATGCACTACGCCAGCCAATTCCTTTGAGATAGGAGCACAGAAGGGAAAGAGACACAAATAACAGACACCTGGAATAGTATAAGGTTTTCCAATACTTTAATATCTCTGAGAAACAAAATCTTTCTTCCTACCTGAGAACTTTTTACACTCTGCACTTCACCCGGGGGTGCCCACAAGAATGACTCTGTGCTTTAAGAAGACGTCAGCACCTTGAACCCAGAGCCAATGTTGGTGTTACTGGATGCCCACTGGTCCCTGGAAGGGCCTCTTTCAATTAGTGGCACACAGGAGGGCAGTTGGGCACTGAGTCTCCTCTTCTGCTAGGGTAGCATGCCCTAACTCATTGCCCTGGTTGGCGCGGACAAGGTATGGAGGGGCCCAGGTGGTGCTCGGAGGGCTTGGAAGGTGAAATGAAGTAGCGGAACATGAGAACTGAGCAGCTCGGGAAGTCAGTCAGGAGGTGCTAGGCGAGGGTCTCACGCTTCTACGACAAAAGGCTGAATCAGGTCTGGGTTCAACAATGACTCCTCAAGAGGCCGGTCCACGTGGAAGTCATAGACGTGGGGGGGTCCTGGAGGTGCCTTGGGGGTAAGTCCTCCTGGGCGCTGAGGAATGGGCAGCTCCGAGGGGTGGGCCGGCAGGGGAGATGTGAAGAAGTACTGGTGCAGAAGAGCCTGTGGGTAGGGGCAGGGAGGGAGAACAGAGGAACTTCATAAGAGAACAGGTCACCCGTCGCACCTTCAGTTATTCCCACTGAGTAGGGTGACCACAAGCTCTGCCCTTTAGAGGCCCAGGATGACTGGCTCCTTCCTTCCTTCCTTCCTTC